GAGTAACAACAGAAGCTTATTCCTTCCTGGCTTTTTTCTCTGTGGAATGTAAGTTTCTGTGTTAGAGGAAGAATCTTCTCAATCAGGAACAATCTGAGTTCTCTTTCTCACTCACACATACTGCTTGTATAACCTGGGGCAAATCACATAGTCACTCCTATATTTCACAGAGCTGTTGCTTGGTTAAATTCATGTATGTATGTGATATGTATGTGATTGGCAATGTCTGTTTTAAAAACCCCACAAATAAAATTGCTGATTAAACCAGGGAATTAGGAATAAAGTTAAGAAAAGTCATACTAGGGTTCAACTAACCCAGCCCCCTTTAGCCTCTTCTTTTCTAAATTGCCCAGTCCCAATCTTTTTAATCTCGCCTCATATGGAAGCTGTTCCTCACTCCTAGTCATTTTGGTTGTACTTCTCTGTTCTTCAGTTGTTCTTCAGTGCTTTTCTTGTGGCAAGGTTATTCAGTGGCCTAACCTCGGTCTCTGAGTTACTCTTGTTCTCAGGGCCTTAAACTATCCTCTATAGTGATTTATAAGGGCCTCTTTTTCCCTCCAATTCATGAGACCCATTAATCCCCAGATACAGACTAGCCCACTCTGCATCCTGAAGTTTAAAGAGCAGAGGTATGTTCCTTCCCCGCCCTCACACCCCAACTGCTGAAATTTTGTTTAACTCCTTTTGTTCCTATCCATAGCAAAAAGATTTTGTGGTGACTAATTTCTGCTAACGTGTGGGGTTTGACCTATTGCATAAAATACCTAATGGTTTGGGTCCTATTCCTGAATTATGCTCTGGGATCTAAGATTGCATTTTTAAAAGCTATTTTTATTCCTTCTGGTTATGAAATTAGCTTTACAAATGTGAACAGATTGTAACTAATGCTGCAATGATTTTCTGAGTCTGCAGAGGGTCTTAAACAATAATACCAAGAAATGTTAACTGCCCCATGCATCTGAATATGTTGTTAATTGTGAAACCTAAAGGTGTACGTTTATCTATAAAATTTAACTATTTTATTATTGATTGTTAACCGAATCATTCAGCCAGTGTGCTTATCTCACAACCTCAAATTGCTTTCCTTCCCATACCCAGGTGCCAAAACCTCATGCTCAACACGTGACAATTTTTTTGATTTAGTTCCTTTGCTGATATAAAAATATGCAACACAATGAGAACTTGAACTATGGGAATAGCATAAAAGAAGCTCAATTTAATATAAGCAGTGAGTAAAATAGGGGCTGCCATGCCGATTGTATTGTTTATATTCATAGTGAAATCAATAAATACCTCAGTTTTTAAAAGTAAATTAAATTCCTCCCAGACTATCAGTCAGCATCACCAAAGTGATGAAGAAACCTGGAGATCACAACATTTAGGTACAAATTACCTTGCAGTTCAAGAGATTTTATATGCAATGTTTGTAGTTTTCTCAAAGGATTTCAAGTTTCTTGCCGTCCCTTCATCATTTTAGATCTGTTCATAGTATTTCTTTATCCCTTTTGGAGTTTCCAACCTTATTCAATGCAGTAATCTCATTAATAAATTGACTTCCTTTTTTGTGATCACTGATGACCATGTTAAATAGAGTAGACCTAGCACTTTTTCCTTCTTTTATCTCTCTAGATCCTTGCCTAACTTAGTCAACATTGTTCATCTTTACCCTTTTTTCCAGTTCTTAATACTTTTTGCAGTCTGTTTGTCAATTCGTATATCCAAGCTAATAAGAGAGCCTTAAAGGAAGTTTGCTAACCTCTATGTTAATACTACACTCTTCTTTCAACAGTGTTTAAAGCATAAATTCAGGTTGCCTCACTTGCCTGAATATAAAGAACAGTGTGGATAATGAAGCACAGCTTAGGTTGCCAGAGTTCAGATAGGCCTAAAAGGTATAGATGGGTTAACAAAGTGCATTTTACTGTTTGTGGCTCTCTTCACCCAAGCTGTGCCATCCCATCTCCAGTGCTATTTGTGCTGTGTGACCCACTGCCTCCCAGCTGTGGAAAACTTTCCCCACCACAGGGAAAGATTCTGGCAGCTCCCCACCATTAGATCTTTTCCCTGCTGCAGATAAGGAAGGACTCCAGCAGAGGGGAAAGTCTTCAAAATTCCCCACTGCCAAACTCTTCCTCAGCTGTCTCCCACCAGAGTCTTTCACTGACCTGTGTAGCTATACTTCTACCTGCTATGCTTAGAAATTCTGTCTTGTGAATGGACTTAAACATAGTAGGCTACGTCTAGACTGGCATGATTATCTGAAAATGCTTTTTACAGAAAAGTTTTCCGTTAAAAGCATTTGCGGAAAAGAGCATCTAGATTGGCACGGATGCTTTTCCGCAAAAGCACTTTTTGCGGAAAAGCGTCCGTGCCAATCCAGATGTGCTTTTGCGCAACATTTTTTTGCTGTCGGGGCTTTTTTGAGCAAAACAAATCTGAGGTGTCTACACTGGCCCTTTTGCACAAAAGGACTTTTGCCCAAACGGGAGCGGCATAGTATTTGCGCAAGAAGCACTGATTTCTTCCATGAGATCATCAGTGTTCTTGCAGAAATTCAAGTGGCCAGTGTAGACAGCTGGCAAGTTTTTCTGCAAAAGCAGATGCTTTTGCGGAAAAACTTGCCAGTCTAGACACAGCCAGTATAGTTTAAGCCAGCAGGGACTCTGAAACGCCACAGTTAAGGCCTTGACATTGATAATACCTTTGTCTGGCACTAAAAGCACAAATCTGATCAAACCAAAAGCTGAACCTAAATGTTAATTGCCGCAAATATTTGAAAACATATACTAATAATGTCTCTTCCCATGTGACTCTTCCCTCTCCTTTCCCCCTCCTCCCATCTATGCTGTTCACACTGAAAATATCTAGCACAGTCCAACCTTTTTAACCACAAGATCAGTTTTTAAATTTAAGTACAATGACCCTCCCATGGGTATGGGTGCAGGAGAGGGAGAGGAGGATTTGGGTATGTGGAGTGGGGGGCAGAGGGTTGGGGAAGGGAGGGGCTAGGGTGCCAGAGGCAGGCTGTGGCCAGGAGACTTATTAGCGAGAAGCCCATTCCTGTATCAGCCTCCCTGCCTGCCCCGTCCCCACACAGGCTGCAGCCATGTGCTCTGTGAATAACTATGAGCCCCTTGTGCTTCATGGCTGGCTGTTATTGAAACAGGCAGCTCCCATTAGACAGTTTCTGGCCAGAAGCTGGCCAATGGGAGCTGGAGCAGCTCCTAAAGCCTTCCCTCACCCCTCCGGACTCTATTTTTAAAGTGAAGCCTCCACACAGCCACGTTTGAGCGGTATGTGGGTAGGGTGAGGCAAACATGGAGTCTGCCTGGGGCTCCCCACAGTGTCTGTGGGCCAGACCTGGTGGCTTGGCGGGCCGTATTTTGCCCAGGCCTGTGGTATGCCATTTGCATGTAAGTCTAACGTGAACGGAATGTTACTAATATCCTCTAGTAAGCTTTTGAAAGGCCACTATTGAGCTACATAGCTAAAATGGCAGTAGACTTTGAATACCCTAAAGTCCATGGAAAATAGCAGTTTTGGATTAGTAAGTCAGTGTTCATGAATTTGTATTGCCATTCCTTCTGGAAAGTGCCAGATTTCAGCAATTTCTTCTGTTCTGATTTTTATTGCCATCTTCTTTCCTCTCTTGCTAGCAAAAATTCTGCAATATTTGTCTTAAGTAGACCTTGCTGGGAACAGTCAATGACTCAAACACATTTCATTAGTAATAGAGATGTAGCTGTGTTAGTAGCTTCCCCAATTATCACCTCTAATATCATTAGCTCACAGACGTTGGGCCCCCCCCATCCCCCCTCTGTTCTGAAATTTGATTTGTCTTTTTTATGTGTGTTCACTTTTTTTTTTATTGAATCCCTTTAGTATATATGGTCATGCCAATTTTCTTCCACAATTTGATCTGAGGAAGTGGATCTGGCCCACGAAAGCTCATCATCTAATAAACCATCTTGTTAGTCTTTAAAGTGCTGCATAGCCTACATTTCATTAGGTTTTTTTCAGGCATTCATGTACAGAAGATGGACTAGCAATAATAATAGAGTTTCTGTTCTTGTATTTTTGGAATTTAAATATGCCCCTCACTTCAACTTTTTAGGCAATGAAGAAGAGATGGCTTTTTAAATCCATTGCATAGTTACTTTACATGAGTTTCCTTTAGAAGAATATGCATTTACATGTGGATATGTGTAGTGCATATAGTGGTTTTTTAGCTAAGCAGATTCTTCAAATGTTTCCTCTTTCATATCTGTTTTATAGCAACTTTATAGAAAGAAACCCGGGCTGGCTGTTACGTGTGCAAAAACAGCTCAAAATATGGACAAAAATCGATACAAAGATGTTCTGCCTTGTGAGTATTAAATAGAAATTTTATTTTCTTTTATCCTCTGTATAATGTGTTACATGTTATATAACCACTATGAACTTTGCCATTACTGAATTTATTATAAAATCAGAGTTGTATGATTGTGCATCTATGTTATATTCTAAAACACTTCTGTGCTTTTTTCACATGCCTGTAATCAAAATGCCTGTGATTCCTTGGTTATTTGACCTAATGAAAGGAAATGATGATGATAAAACATGCCATCCAATTATTTATTTAATTCTTTTTTTTTTTTAACAGATGATGCCACACGGATAATATTGCAAGGAAATGAAGATTACATTAATGCAAATTATGTGAACGTAAGTTATACAGGCATAAATATTAATTACAGAAATAAATGAATAATATTGCAGCACAGTTATTTATTCATTCTTTCATTTAATTCAGAAAAGCCTAACATTTTGTTCATTGTAACTCTCGGTAAGTAGCTTAAAGTGCTCATTAGGAATATAATTATTTATACTGCTAGTCTAAAGTCTAAAGCACATGGAAAGCATTAGCAGAAGGGTTATTTTCAATGAGCAAAAATAGTCATACAGTTTCATATATATTGCATAAATTTTAAGACCAGTAATTTTGTGAGGTTTAATAATTAATATTTGTTTAATAATGTATATCTAGGATTGCAGGCACCTGTTGCCAAATCAGTGCACTGGGGTGAGAAAAGGCTCTTAACAAGAGGAGGCTCCAGGGAAGCAACATAACAATACACTGTTAAAAAGAGCAGTGTAGACCTGCACAGTTTGGGCATGTAAAGAGCAGTGTGAGATATATGCCCTGGGGGATTCAGGTGTGGAGGACACTTGATTGTTATACTCTACTCTCTTACATGGTGCCTTATCATTTACACTGCTATTTATAACTGCCTTCTTGGTGTGTAGAGTCTGTGCTCTATGCTTCGCTATAAGTGTAGACTCACTTTAAAAGAGAATGAGTGTCTTTCCTAGTTCTTGTCTGCATTTTTTCAGTGTAGTCTCAAGAGGGCCTCCCTTAATGCGTTACTCATTGTGAGGGCATTTCAGAGCTTCCATACCAAGAGCTACAATCTGATCTGAGTATGGGTTGGCGTTCAGCAGAGTAAGGATAGTTCAGAACCTTCCCAAGCCACTGATAAATTATAACTTTATCTCAAACACTACAAGCCCTGTGTATTGATACTTTCACGTTTTTGCCATCGATGCAGCACACCGTATTATCTAAACAATATTTTGATTTTAGAAGATGTCTATATTGCATTTAGAGGTTGGATTTGTATCTTGTGTAAACACATATGCGCTAGCTTTAATCTAAATAAAGCACTAAAAATAGGAGTGAATCTGTGGCAATATTGGCTTCAGTGTCAGAAATCCAAGTCCATTTCTAGAGTTCCCAGGCCAACTTGCACAGCCTGTGCAAGGACTCTGCTGCCATGTTTTCCCAGCTGTCTTTAGCAAACTAGCTAGATTAAAGTACAAAGTGCAGTCACATTTCTGATAGTAATGTAGACATTCCCCAAAAACAATATTCTAGGGAAGCTGACTTGTAGGAATTAAGAAGAATGATGTGTCGTTCTGTGGGTGACAATCTACTATTGTACTCTATTGGATGATTGTAATTTGGTCTTAAAATCAAAATATTTTAACTCATCCTTTTATTAAAATTCACCTACCCTTTGGAATGTTAAAAGCTTTGTAAAGCATGTAAACATTTCTTAATTCTATCAATGACATTTTAATTTGTAGTCACTTCCCTGTGGTCAGTGTGGCAAATATACAAGTGTTCAGAAAAGTTATACATATACTAATATGTATAACTTGCATCAAACTCTAAACTGAACATATCTGTGTAAATATAGATCATGCCATTATTCCAAGTGAACAATGTTTAAGAAAATGTACCATGATTATATTCATTTTGGCTATTTTAAATACTTTTATCTTTCAGGTGTATGGGGTACTGTAATATCTTGTTGTTTTCCTATCTCTTTCTGTCCCTTCTTATCCTCTTTTTAGGAGCAGTCTGGGATACTTTTATGGAAATTTAATATTGAAATAAAATGGTAAAATGGTCTGCATCTATTGTTTTTACTATGTATGAGGTTTTATTTTTAGGAGAAGTGGTTGTTTATTTAAATTGATCTCTAGAATCTACCTGAATTGTATTGATGGGATTGCAACCATAAATGTTTTTGTCAGTGATGTGTAAACTTCAAAAAGTTCAAGATTCAGAAGGATTTCAAGGAGTATCCAGAAGTTCAGATGCTTTAAAGTAGATATTTCCAGGAAATATTTAGTTATTTTTTGACCCCTGTTATACTTTTGGCCATAACAATGTCCGTGACAGAGTTCCACATATTAGTTGAGTGTGGTGTAAACAAGCATGTCCCCTTGTTTGTATTAAACCAGTTGCCTGTTAATTTCATCAGGTGGCCTCTGGTTTGTGTGTAGTGAGGAAGGGTAAATAATATGTTTCTATTCATTTTTCCATAGTATTCATGATTTATAGACCTCTATCATATTCCCCCTTTAGTTCTTTTCTGTGCTGAACAGCACTAGTCTTTTTAGTCTCCCCTCTTGAGGAAGCTGTTAAATAACCTTGTTGCCCTTCTCTGAATGTTTTTTAGTTCCACTCTATCTCTATTGAGATGGGGTGACCAGAATTGGACATAGTACAGTAAAACTCCAATTGTCCGGTATCCCGTGCTCCGGCCAGTTGGACAATTGAAGCTGCTGTGAGCACCATGGGCGCTTGCAGCTGGGAAAGGGAAGGGGAGAAGAGGGGAAGGGAATTATACCCCTGTGACGGGTCTGCCGGGACCCGCACTGCGTCTGGCCGGGGAGGTGGGTGGGAAACAGTGCGACGAGGGGCGAACCCTCCACCATTTTGCAGGAAGGCAGGAGAAGCCCTGTGCTGCTGCGAGATCCAAGTCCCCGAACTTTCCCCATTCCGGCTGCACTCAGTCCCGTGCCGCCGCTGAGAGTTTCTGGGAGGGGAGCGGGCTCCCCACAGCCCAGACTGCAGTAGTTATTGCCGGGCAGAGGGATGAGGGGAGGTGCTGCGGGACCAACCTGGCAGCACCCCAGCTGCTCTGCTCCTCTGCTTCCCCAAATCCGCCGCTCGTCAGTTTTGGCAGCGGCGATGCTGCGGGACCAACCCGGCAGCACCCAGCTGCTCTGCTCCATCACTTCCCCAAGTCCTCTGCTGTCGCTGCTCTAAAAAAGTGAAAAAAGTGGGCAACAACCTGACTTGTCAGGGAACTCATTCGATAGTCTCAGTAATGACCAACGCAGAGTTGTACATGTCCAAGTTGGCAGGATCCGCTTGTACAACTGGTACATTGAAAACCAAAGACCCTACGTGGACAACTTCTGAGAGGAGCGGTACTGAGCTTACCACCTCCTTCATGGTACCTACTCCAACAAAGTCACTTAAACTTCTGCCATTGGGCAGCTAGGCATCCCTGCAGTGTATGGTGCCATCTACTGGTCCCTTGGAGAAAAGCAGAGTTACATCCATACCAAAAACCATTCCAACTACAGGCAGTCCCCGGGTTACGTACAAGATAGGGACTGTAGGTTTGTTCTTAAGTTGAATCTGTATGTAAGTCGGAACTGGCGTCCAGATTCAGCCGCTGCTGGTCAGTTTCAGCAGCGGCTGAATCTGGACGCCAGTTCCGACTTACATACAGATTCAACTTAAGAACCCCAAGTCAGCTGCTGCTGAAACTGATCAGCGGCTGATTCCAGGAAGCCTGGGGCAGAGCACCTCTGCCTCGGGCTTCCTGTAGTCAGCGCTGGTCAGTTTCAGCAGCGGCTGAATCTGGACGCCAGTTCCGACTTACATACAGATTCAACTTAAGAACCCCAAGTCAGCTGCTGCTGAAACTGATCAGCGGCTGATTCCAGGAAGCCTGGGGCAGAGCACCTCTGCCTCGGGCTTCCTGTAGTCAGCGCTGGTCAGTTTCAGCAGCGGCTGAATCTGGACGCCAGTTCCGACTTACATACAGATTCAACTTAAGAACCCCAAGTCAGCTGCTGCTGAAACTGATCAGCGGCTGATTCCAGGAAGCCTGGGGCAGAGCACCTCTGCCTCGGGCTTCCTGTAGTCAGCGCTGGTCAGTTTCAGCAGCGGCTGAATCTGGACGCCAGTTCCGACTTACATACAGATTCAACTTAAGAACCCCAAGTCAGCTGCTGCTGAAACTGATCAGCGGCTGATTCCAGGAAGCCTGGGGCAGAGCACCTCTGCCTCGGGCTTCCTGTAGTCAGCGCTGGTCAGTTTCAGCAGCGGCTGAATCTGGACGCCAGTTCCGACTTACATACAGATTCAACTTAAGAACCCCAAGTCAGCTGCTGCTGAAACTGATCAGCGGCTGATTCCAGGAAGCCTGGGGCAGAGCACCTCTGCCTCGGGCTTCCTGTAGTCAGCGCTGGTCAGTTTCAGCAGCGGCTGAATCTGGACGCCAGTTCCGACTTACATACAGATTCAACTTAAGAACAAACCTACAGTCCCTATCTTGTACGTAACCCGGGGACTGCCTGTATAACTGCAGTGGCACTACCAACTCAGGAGTTTAGCTTGCCTTCAAAGAAACTTGCATTCATCAGGAAAAGAGACAGTTTGCTTATGGGGGTAAAGATAAGGCAATCCGAAGCTCAGAAGAAAAATTCAAGAGAGTTGTTTTGCTCATTTGTTGACACAGCATGAGTGTCCATCAAATAAATAATTTACAAATGAAGCATCAAGACAAGACTTTTGGGGGGGGGGGAGGAAAGTAAGCTGGAGGCAAAGAGAAAAACACTCCTGAAAAATTGTATCAACCTTCATGGGATACTGATCCATGGACAATGTTCAGATGTCAAGAATGAAGACTTTTATGTTGCAATTCAACATCTGTCACATTTTGCAACATGGAAAGCACTCTGCATTATGAACAAATGGAAAACTTGGAGTGGAGAGCTGAAGGATGCTTTTCCTAATCTGTGAATTAGCTTTGAGGAGTTTGCTCATGCTGCTAGTCACAGCCTTGAGCAGTGAGGTGACTGAAGCTTTTCAAAGCTCAGGCTCATTACAACATATTTATCAACTTTGACTGACAAGAGATTGACATTGCTTTCTATTTTATCACTAGAAAATACCATTGGCTTGTCTTTGGATCTGTTGGTGCTTCAGTTTGTGAGAGCAAAAGCGAGAAAAGCAATCTTTTGAACTAAAGGACTAGAGTTAACATTCCAAGGCTGTTATCTCCTGTGACACTACTTAATACTGGTCCACTTACTGTTGTTGCACAGTTCAATTTCTTAATGTTTACATTTCAGTT